TTCCACACTTTAACTGAAACATTCCGCACTTTACCTGAAAAGTTCCGCTCTTTACCTGGAACGTTCCTTTTTTACCTGGAACGTTCAGCACTTTACCCGGAACGTTCCGCACTTTACCCGGAACGTTCCGCACTTTACCCGGAACGTTCCGCACTTTACCGGGAGCATTCAGCATTTTAACCGGAACGTTCCGCACTTTACCCGGAACGTTCTGCACTTTACCCGGAACGTTCTGCACTTTACCCGGAACGTTCCGCACTTTACCCGGAACGTTCTGCACTTTACCCGGAACGTTCTGCACTTTACCCGGAACGTTTCCGCACTTTACCCGTTCCGCACTTTACCCGGAACGTTCCGCACTTTACCCGGAACATTCCGCATTTTTAACCGGAACGTTCCGCACTTTACCCGGAACGTTCTGCACTTTACCCGGAACGTTCCGCACTTTACCCGGAACGTTCCGCACTTTACCCAGAACGTTCTGCACTTTACCTGGAACGTTCCACAGTGTCCATGAGTCCGTGACAAATTAAGACTGTTGCCGTAGTGATTAACAACCAAACAGTCTTAAACATCTCTCCATGACGACAAGCAGGTGACACCACGACAAGTCACAGGTCAGGTCTGTGGAGAGGCGAGCCCGTTCACAGTAACAAGACTTTTGTCAGATTTTTGCAAAGAAAATCCTGAAATGAAAAAAAAAGTAAGATGCCCTCATCACCAAACTACGGAACATTCTGGGTAAAACATGATTTACACGGAGACAAGAAGAAAAGTTACACAGTGCAACTTTAAAAACTAAACCACCTGAAGTTTGAAAAGTGTGAGCGAGATAGTTTTAGTTCGTCTGTGTCTCTTCTAACGTAAACTCTCTCTGACTCCTCGGACAGCGGCCATCTTCCTGGAGAACCTGGGTCCAGACTTCAGAGAGGACGAGACCTTCTTCTCCGTTTTTGCCATTTTTTTTCCTGCAGCAACAGGAATCCTGGCAGGAGCGAACATCTCAGGAGACCTCGCTGTGAGTAACACCAGTGTATGAAGAGGAACAGGGGGTCAGAGGAACAGAGGAACAGAGGAGGAGCAGAGGGTCACAGGGTCAGAGGAACAGAGGGTCAGAGGAACAGAGGAACAGAGGAACAGAGGAGGAGCAGAGGGTCACAGGGTCAGAGGAACAGAGGAGCAGAGGAACAGAGGAGCAGAGGAACAGAGGAGCACAGGAACAGAGGGTCAGAGGAACAGAGGAGCAGAGGGCTAGAGGAAGAGAGGGTCAGAGGAACAGAGGGTCAGAGGAGCAGAGGAACAGAGGAACAGAGGGACAGAGGAGCAGAGGAACCAGAGGTCAGTCACATACCGTGTTTTTCCTGCAGGACCCTCAGTCTGCGATCCCCAAAGGAACCCTCCTGGCCATCCTCATCACTGGAGTCACGTACGTGGCTGTGGCCATCTCCACAGGTGAGACGCACAAGATAAAACACCAGAGCTGAAGTGTAAATGTGAATGTGTCCTCTGAGGTACAACTAGAACTGAACCAGGACTAAAACAGGACTGAACTGTAACTGACCCCGGTCTGACCCCGGTCTGACCCCGGTCTGACCCCGGTCTGACCCGGTCCTGTGTTCCAGGTTCTTGTATCGTGCGGGATGCGACCGGGGATCATAACGACACCGTGAGTGACACGGTGAACTGCACCGACGCCGCCTGCTCCCTCGGCTTCGACTTCTCCATCTGCAGAGAAGGAGGCTGCCAGTACGGACTCATGAACGACTTTCAGGTCAGACCAGGGTACACTCCGTTTGATCTGTGTGAGACCGGGTTTAGACCTGGTTTGGATCTGGTTTAGACCTGGTTTAGACCTGGTTTAGACCTGGTTTAGACCTGGTTTAGACCTGGTTTAGACCTGGTTTAGACCTGGTTTAGACCTGGTTTAGACCTGGTTTTGGACCTGGTTTGGACCTGGTTTACCTGGTTTAGACCTGGTTTGGACCTGGTTTGGACCTGGTTTAGACCCGGTTTACCCGGTTTACCCGGTTTGGACCTTTACCTGGTTTGGAGACCTGGTTTGGACCTGGTTTGGACCTGGTTTGGACCTGGTTTAGGTTTACCTGGTTTAGACCTGGTTTAGACCTGGTTTAGGACCTGGTTTGACCTGGTTTAGACCTGTTTGGATGGTTCCTGGTTTCAGGTCTTTGTTTAATCTAGTAGTTTTAACTCCTTTCACTCTAGTAACTGTTTGTATTTCAGGTGTAAGTGGTAAAGTGGTAAATGTGCTGTACCAAAACTCAGAAACATGTTTTAAAGTTCAAGTTCAAGCGTTTTTTAGGTGGAGGGTCAGAAAACTTCTGTCCGTGGAGATGAAGATGATGTTTTGCCTGAAGTTTCCACCAAACAACATAAACTTGTGTCTCCACGGAGACACTCAGACCAAATATTTCCTTGGCAATAAAAACGCCTCTAATTCAATTAATCAAACAAACAAAGTTTATTTGTAGAGCAATTTTCACACATTTGAAATGAAACACAAAGTTCTTCACTGCACCAGCTCCAGGGTTTCATCCACGTAAACAGAAACATCAAAAGTTAGTTTAAAAATAAATACATCAAAAATTTAGGACTAAAATTAGATGAAAACTAAGTAAAATAATAATAATTACATTTTAAACAAATTAAATTAAATAAAATTAGTCTCAATTAAAAGCTAAATTAAAAAGATATATCTTGAGTTTACTTTTAAAAACATGAACACTCACCTCAGGTTCTCAGGTCGACTGTTCCACAGACGTGAGCCGTAAAAACAGAATGACGCTGTGAGTTTCAATTTGGACTAAAAGTGTGAAATTTATTAGGACATTCGGTTTCAGCTTTAGGTCTTCATCAGGCTCTTTCTCCTCCAACACACTCGTCTCAACTAACTGATGTGTGAAGTTCTTATTCTTTTAAATCCTTGGACCCTCCATCAGAAAAGTTCCGTGGTGCAGCTTTAGTTTCTCCAGAGTGATGCTGTTTCGCAGGTGATGAGTTTGGTGTCGGCGTTTGGGCCCCTGATCACCGCTGGGATCTTCTCCGCGACTCTGTCCTCTGCTCTGGCGTCGCTCGTCAGCGCCCCCAAAGTCTTTCAGGTACGTGACAGAACTGCAGCTCTGGAGCCGCCGCTGGACTCTGAGCGTTTCACTGAGGACTCGGGTCGCACTGAGGACTCGGGTCACTCTGAGGACTCGGGTCACTCTGAGGACTCGGGTCACTGAGGACTCGGGTCACCATGAGGACTCGGGTCACTGAGGACTCGGGTCACTCTGAGGACTCGGGTCACTCTGAGGACTCGGGTCACTCTGAGGACTCGGGTCACTCTGAGGACTCGGGTCACTCTGAGGACTCGGGTCACTCTGAGGACTCGGGTCACACTGAGTTCACTCTGAAAGTGTAAGACTGAAAAGACCTGGTTTATGGTTCAGGTCTCTGTGTCTCCTCAGCCTCTTCACATGAAACAAACACCGACAAAGTTCAGCCTCTTCTGTGTCTGGAGAAATGAAGTCAAGTCACATGATTTTTTCACAGTCGTTTCAGAAAGTGGAGCCGATATTGAACCACAAAGTCGTGAAAGTTTCAGCTGAAACGACTTTAAACCAGAAAATTCATGTGACGAGTTTGTGGAGCTGAAACCAAACAGAGAATGAGAAGAGAAACATCGAAACTGAGTTATACAGATTATACAGAGTTATACAGAGTTACACGGAGTTACAGAGTTATACGGAGTTATGCAGAGTTATACGGAGTTATATGGTGTGATACGGAGATACACAGAGATACACAGAGTTATACAGAGTTACACGGAGTTACACGGAGTTACACGGAGTTACACGGAGTTACACGGAGTTACATGGAGTTATACAGAGTTATACGGAGTTATATGGTGTGATACGGAGATACACAGAGATACACGAGTTTACACGGAGTTACACGGAGTTACACGGAGTTATACGGAGTTATACAGAGTTACACGGAGTTACATGGAGTTATACAGAGTTATACAGAGTTACACAGGCCTCTTTGTTTATCTGTGTGTGTTTGTGTATGTTCATTTGTGTGTTTGTGTGTATGTGTTTGTGTGTGTTTGTGTATTTGTGTGTGTTCATGTGTGTGTTTGTGTATCTGTGTGTGTGTATGTTTGTGTGTATTCATGTGTGTGTTTGTGTGTTTGTGTATCAGGCATTGTGTAAAGACAACATTTATCCCAGTCTGGAGGTTTTCGCCAAAGGTTACGGCAAAAACAACGAGCCTCTGCGTGGATACGTGCTCACCTTCTGCATCGGCCTGGCCTTCATCCTCATCGGTGAGACAGAAACAAGACCTGGGTTACACCGGCCTGGTTTAGTCCTGGTTTAGTCCTGGTTTAGTTCTGGTTTAGACCTGGTTTAGACCTGGTTTAGACCTGGTTTAGTCCTGGTTTAGTCCTGGTTTAGTCCTGGTTTAATCATGCTTAGTTTATTTGTATTTTTTCTAATCTTTCTCCTCCTGTCCCTGTTTCTGTCTCTGTCCCTGTCGCTCCTGTCTGTCCCTGTCGCTCCTGTCTGTCCTGTCGCTCCTGTCGCGCTCCTGTCTGTCCCTGTCGCTCCTGTCTCTGTAGCGGAGCTGAACATCATCGCTCCGATCATCTCAAACTTCTTCTTGGCTTCTTACGCTCTCATCAACTTCTCAGTGTTCCACGCGTCTCTCGCCAACTCTCCAGGTAAGACGTACGACCTCTGACCACTGACCACTGACCACTGATCACTGACCTCTGACCTCTGACCTCTGACCACTGATCCACTGATCACTGATCACTGATCTCTGACTGATCTCTGACCTCTGCTCCAGGTATGAACCAGATTCTGTTTGACCTCTGACCTCACACATGAACAACTCTTTAACTTTTTCTTTTATTTTGATATGATCATAAATGATTAATTTTGTGCCTTTGTTTGTAACAAAAACGTCTTTTTTTTTTCACATTCACATTTTTCACATTTCATTCTCATTGTAGTTTATTTTGTATGATCAGAATTATTTATTATTTAGTAAAATGAAGGTTTAAAGTGTCAGAAAAAACTGCTGTTTATTACATACTGTGTTTTTGTACTTTTGAGAAATATTTAGCACCAAACCCATTATAAAAAAACAGGAATTATTAGGAATTAGGATGAATTATAAAAAACATTTAAATCATACGCACTGTAATCGTACTAACTTCCTAAACTCACACGTTGGTGCTGTATGTGTGAGCAGTTCCGTGTGTGTCCTCAGGGTGGCGCCCCAGCTTTAAGTACTATAACATGTGGGTGTCTCTGGGAGGCGCTGTTCTCTGCTGCGCCGTCATGTTCATCATCAACTGGTGGGCGGCGCTCGTCACGCTCCTCATCGTCCTCGCGCTCTACGTCTACGTGGGCTACAAGAAACCAGGTCAGAGACAGAACCGGGTCAGAACCGGGTCTGGACTGGGTTTGAACCAGGTCAAACCCGGAACCGGGTCTGAACCAGATCAGAGACCAGGTGCACACTGATCTAGTCCTGTTGTAAACTAAGTTGGAACCAAAACCAGGCTTGAGTCCTGCTGAAGTCTGGGTCTCAAGTAGTCCTGATTTAGAACTGGTCTCTGCACTAACTGTTTGGTGAGAGAATTGGGAGTCAATTATAAACACCACTGAGTAGCTATAGACCTGGTTTAGTCCTGGTTTAGTCCTGGTTTAGTTCTTGTTTAGTCCTGGTTTAGTCCTGGTTTAGTCCTGGTTTAGTCCTGGTTTAGTTCTTGTTTAGTCCTGGTTTAGTTCTTGTTTAGTCCTGGTTTAGTCCTGGTTTAGTCCTGGTTTAGTCCTGGTTTAGTTCTTGTTTAGTCCTGGTTTAGTCCTGGTTTAGTCCTGCTGTAGACCTCACGTGTTTCTGTGTTTTTGCAGATGTGAACTGGGGCTCGTCCACTCAGGCTCTGATCTATAATCAGGCTCTGACCCACTGCCTGGACCTGACCGGAGTCCCGGAACACATCAAGAACTTCAGGTCTGTACCGCCACAACTTCAGGTCTGTACCGCCACAACTTCAGGTCTGTACCAGAGTGAAGACTCTGCAGGCCCAGGCCTGTGGTGGAGGTCTGTGGAACATAATGGAGCCTCAGGGCTCACATCTCCAGAGCTTCTCCAGAGCTTCTCCAGAGCTTCTCCCAGAGCTTCTCCAGAGCTTCTCCAGAGCTTCTCCAGAGCTCCAGAGCTTCTCCAGAGCTTCTCCAGAGCTCGATGGAGGAGGGGACACTGAGTCTGAGTGGATCATGTCCTCTGCCTCCAGCTGTGGTGTCTGGTCTGAGTCTGTGGTGCCTGTATCTCCCTGAAACCTGAGGTGGAAACTGAACGTCAGGGCTGTGTTCAGGCTGAAGAAGGAGTCCCATGGAGCATGTTGGTCTGTGGGACTCCTGAGGAGCTGACAGGTATCAGCAGGTCAAGTGAGCTTCAGCTGGTGGAGTCACTAACACTCTGGAGCTCTGACCTCGACTGGGGAGGATCTCCTCAGTCACACTGTCATGTCTGAGGCGGAAGCAGAGACTCAGAGGAGCACTGGTCCATCAGGCTGAAGTTCTCTGAGCTCACAGCTCCTTGGAGCTCCAGGTCAGAGCAGGAGATCTGTCCTGAGGGTCTGGAGTCTCTGGAGGTTGTGGGTATTGGTTGACACGTCTCTGAAACATCTCAACGGGTCATAATGGGTGGTGGTCCCTAAACTGAAGGGGTTAGTCCTGGTTCAGTCCTGGTCTAGTCCTGGTCTAGTCCTGGTCTAGTTCTTATAATCTGTCTCTCTTACAGACCTCAGTGTTTGGTCATGGCTGGTTTTCCAAACTCTCGTCCTGCTCTTCTGCACCTCGTCAATTCCTTCACCAAGAATGTGGGGCTAATGATCTGTGGACATGTCAGAACGGTGAGTACAAACAATACAAGTACTAACACTGAGAATACTATTACTACTACTTCTACTACTACTACTACTACTACTACTATTAGCACTACCATCATCACTGCTGCTACTGCCACAGCAGCTCGATCTGTGCTCTGACTCTTCCTGTTTTCATGTGTTTGAGATGTTCTGGTTCTAGATTAGACCTGGGTTAGACTGAGTTCCTTTGCCTCAGTTGTTGGTTCTGTGGTTCAGTGTGTCACAGTTGTTTTTCTGGTGTCACACAGTGTGTTTGTGTATTTTGTGATGTTTGTGTGTTTGTGTGTTTGTGTGTTTGTGTATTGATGTTGTGTGATGTTTGTGTGTTTGTGATGTTTGTGTGTGTTTTGTGTGTTTGTGATGTTTGTGTGTTTGTGTGTATTTTGTGTTTGTTTGTGATGTTTGTGTGTGATGTTTGTGATGTTGTGTGTTGTGTGTTGTGTGTTTGTGTGTTTGTGTGTTTGTGTAACACACTCTTGTGTATTTCCACAGCTGAGTCGGCGTCCGAACCTGAAGGACTTGACTCTGGAGCACGGCCGCTGTCAGCGCTGGCTCCA